GTCCCAGCCTCCTCACATTCTGTGGGGTTGATGGCATCTTCAGAACCTCTGTACAAATATTTTGAAACTGCATCTTATCATGTGTTACCTTACTCTCAGTTCCCTCCGCCTGGCTCTCAGGGACTCCAAAAACTATTTCATTGTTGCTGCGCTGGAAACGTTCCCGTTGTTCCTCCTCTCACCTAACAATAGGTCCATTAATTTTAATTTCTTCGACACACTTCTTCAGACTCCCTAGCTGCTGTAGAACCTGTTCTGATCCTGCATTACTCTCTGCCACCACCCCCCCCCCTCCATGGCCCTGCTAATGCCTCAGCATAACTCCTCTTAGCAACCACCTCCATTCTATCGGCTACTTCCTTTTTTTAGCAAGGATCTCTTTCCCAACTTGCTCTAGTTTGGCAACCAGCAGGGCTCCAAGCTTTGTCTGTTTATGTCCCTAGGGAACTCGTTCCCTTATGGCTTGCAATCACCTCTTTCACCTTGACTATGCAGTCAGGGCAATACCAACAATAGCCTTCATGCTTTACGGCAGTTAGCATCTTCCTAAACGTTGCATTAGTCAGGCCTGTATCCTCCATATCAGAAGTCCCCCTGCAGTAATCACATATCATACTCATGGTTGTTGATGTTGAGGGGGGTGCAGACTATGTATAGATCTACACCTATTTAAAAATAAAGAGAAAAAAAAAGAACAGTACTGCTCTCTGCTAAATTTAACCACCTCCCCTGTTGCCTATAGAGTTGTCTTCTGCTATCACTGTGTACACTGTATCTCCTTGTGAATGGTGTATTGTAGGCACAGTTTCAATCCATGAGAAAGCACACAAACAAAATAAAATTTAAAGTCTCTGTGGCACTTGTAACATGACTTGGTTTCAGCTGGCAGCGGTGCCTTCCAGCTTGCTTGCCAGTTTGTATTCACTTTAAGTTATTTACAACTTCTTCCGCCGTCACTGATGACACTATGAACTGATTTACCTAAAATCACAGTACTATACTCCCTGGTTGGCCTTTATCACAGCCGTGACCACAACTCCGCAAAAAAATATATACAGTAATACCCCGCTTAACACGGTTTCGCTTAGCGCGATTTCACGTATACGCGGTGCCTCGCCAGAGCCGAACTTTCACTTAACGCGGGTTTTTTCCACGTATACGCGGAGAGTGTCCGGCTCGAGACGCTATTTTTAGATTCGCCCCACCCCCCACCCGCTACCCTGCCTGCCTGTTTTAGCTCATAAAATTCATACAAATTACCCAGCCAGAATATAATTTACATTGCTAGAATTCTTACAATATGATGATCATTTTGAATATAAACATCATAGATTTTGCATTAGACATACAAATATTAGATATAATGTTTACTCTGAGTAAATATGTTATTTTTTGTGCAAAATATATGACATTTGTATTCAAAATATTCCTGGTCTTACAAGGAATCCAGCAATGTCAATTATATTATCTTAACTTTAGTTTGAGGTATTATTTATTACTAAAAAGGTAAATATTCTGGTTTTCCCACACATCTGGTAGGGAGGGTTGGTGGGGGTGGGGGGGAGGGAGGGACCGACCGACCATCTGTTACCATGTGAAGAATATTTTTTTTTTTTTATTAACTGAAGATATTTGTTTTAGCTCATAAAATTCATACAAATTACCCAGTCAGAATATAATTTACATTGCTGGAATTCTTACAATTTGATGATCATTTTGAATATAAACATCATAGATTTTGCATTAGACATACAAATTTTAGATATAATGTTTACTCTGAGTAAATATGTTATCTTTTGTGCAAAATATATGACAGTTATATTCAAAATATTCCTGGTCTTACAAGGAATCCAGCAATGTCAATTATATTATCCTAACTTTAATCTGAGGTATTATTTAATACTAAATGTTAAAATTTTGTTTTTTCACCCAACACCTCTTGAAGGGAGGATTGATGGGGGGTGGGGGGGAGGGTTGGGACCGACCACCATCTGGCGGTTGGAAGAGGGGGGGAGGCAAGATGGGGTACTTTGATTGACAGATAGTGTCGTGAAGAATATATTTTTTTTTTATTAACTGAAGATATTTGTTTTAGCTCATAAAATTCATACAAATTACCCGGCCAGAATATGATTTATATTGCTGGAATTCTTACAATTTGGTGATCATTTTGAATATACAGTGGGGTATGCTATAACAAACGGATCCTACTACGAATATTCCTATAACGAACGGTTTTACCTATAAAATTGAGAATGCTATAACGAACGAAACTCCTACAACGAACATTATTAAAAAAAAAAATTTTTTTTTTTTTTTTACTAAATTATTGTTTTTTTATTACAAATATTAATGATATTCTTTATTTCAGGGGTTTAGATACATATTTATGCACTTTTTTACAATTTTTACAATTTTATATTATATTTTTCAGTGTTAAGTGGTTGTATTTGGGGGCCTGGAACGGATTAATCCTATAAAGAACGAATGCTATAACGAACAAGGTTCTAGAACCAATTAGATTCGTTATACCATACCCCACTGTAAACATCATAGATTTTGCATTAGACATACAAATTTTAGATATAATGTTTACTCTGAGTAAATATGTTATCTTTTGTGCAAAATATATGACATTTATATTCAAAATATTCCTGGTCTTACAAGGAATCCAGCAATGTCAATTGTATTATCCTAACTTTAGTTTGAGGTATTATTTATTAAAATTTAGTGGTTTTCCCCCCAAAATTTCTCAGAGGGAAGAGCCAGTGAGTGTAATGTGAGAAGAAGGGGAGGGAGTTGAGTCCATTATTTGAATGGACATTAATTTGGTGACTGTATTTCTCTATTTCTCTTAAGTATTAATTGTGTGCATGTACCATCATAAAATAAAGATGTTATTTTTACTAGAACATAGGTATTGTGTCGGAAAAAGTGGAGTTTAGGGGTCGGGCCAGTTTCTATTGGAATTAATCCCATATGTTCTGTTGTTCACTTAGCGCGGTTTTCACTTAACACGGTACCCTGTGGGTTTTATTGACCGCGTTAAGCGGGGTACTACTGTATATAAAAATAGAAGCTTTGTCATATGGCAGTGATTTTGTGGTTACCTCCTGACCTGGACTGTACCTCCAACTCGTTGGAAATTTAGTTTTCAAAAATACAATCGCGTCTAGCATTAAAAATCCTACATCGACTTACACTTTCACGTCACTGAGACGATCTTGATGCTGATGATCCTGTTATCCTTGAAATCAGTGGCAGCATGTCTCATGTCCCTCATAATAGTGCCAATGATGAAAGTGATAATGATGGTGGTGTTATTGGTGGTGAACCGAGTGAAGGTGGTGATGGTAGGCCTAGTGATGGTGAGGTGAGGGTAACAGCTGGTGAGGCCAAGAGGGGTGCAGGGCATGCACGTCACCCCATAGAAAAAAATGGACACAAGCATGCACGCAATGTTGAGCAGTGGGCACAGAATGTTGCAAAAAAGCGACGTACCCTTGGCCTTGATTACGTTAGTTACTTGACCAAGAAAAGAGTAGAGTCCAGAAAAGTTTGTGAGCCCTGACCTGATGGGTGCTTTAATAAAATAGCCCGTGCTGACATTGACACCATTTTCACCAATTTCTGGGCTATTGGCAAGTACAATGCATAAAATGCATACCTGCAATCACTAATTAGAGAAGTACCAGTGAAAAGGAAGTGCAAACAGGGCAAGGGGAGCCAGAGGCCATTGCTTTATACGTATTTTGTGAAAGTGAGGCAGTAGTAAGTGGAGGTTTGTCGGAAGGGCTTTATGTCGATTCATGGCATTTGCATACAAAAGGTCAAGGTCCTCTTGAAGAAAAGGAAGGAATCACCCAGTGGCACCCCAGTTGGTGATAAGCATGGTCATCACCCCTCTTCCAGAGCCATCACAGGTGTTCATCTTGACATTGTGTATTAGCCCGTCTCATTGTTGACAGTAGTATTATATAAATGTGGGTTAATGACATTAGTCTAGGTAGTTATAGGTAGTAGGTATTAGGCAGCTACCAAACAGGGAGGTATTACCGCCTGGGAAGATATTGGAAGCATAACGTGTTGGATCTTGCTGCCACATGGCATCATGAAAATTGTGACTAAGTCCCAGGTTGCTGATCTGACTTTCTGCCTCATTTACACACAATTGCATGGTCTCAATTGTTTCTCTTACTATTGACAACACAACATACATATATTGTTCCTCACTTTTGATTTTGTTTTTCATTTTGTACTTCTTTGTAGTTCTTTATTATTATTATTATTATTATTATTATTATTATTATTATTATTATTATTATTATTATTATTATTATTATTTTATTATTATTATTACATTTTCGCCCCCCCAGGCCCCGATGTGGGTCAGTGACCTGTGCCTGGGTGGGATAATTCAAGTGTAAAAAAAAAGAAAAAAGAAAAAAAAAAAAGTCTTATATGACTCTATCACCCACGGTAACTTTCTATGAGCAGCGAGATGTCATTGAACACGTGATTGGTAACTTTCCACTGGAGGGCGCATCTCTATTAGACCTTAGGTCAGCAATAAGAAGCCGGCTATTGGTTCCCAATGATCACTCAGTCACTGGGACACCAAACCCCATTTTTCCCATATGTTATGTTATTCGATTTATGAATGTTCACTTAAAAAAAGGCTTTCAAGGAACCTAACCCATTCGTATAGTGAGGGATGCCTTTACAGTACATGTATTTACATACTGTTTGTATCAGGCATGACCAGTTTGTAAGATTATAATTGTTTCTTTCTTTTCCTAAACATAACCGTGTGTGTGTGTTTTTGGAGAAGATATGCCTAGAGGTTGAAAAGGTATCTTCAACTAAGTAATGACTCTAAAGGAACAAATAAGATTCAATATAGAGTCGAGAATTTTGGTTTCTGCATAACTTTTCTGAAAAATAACCTATCCATAAATCAAGGGAGACTTATAGTACTGCAATATCCCCATATTTCATACCTTTGCAGAGCTTCATCAACTGACATCTTGTACTTCTTCATTAGGTAACAAGTCACAAGAGTTGCACTTCTTGACACTCCAAAGTAACTGAAAGAAAAACAAGAAAGAGTTGACATCTTTAAATTTAATTTTAACACAATAAATTTAGAAGAAAATGACCTGTGGGAAGAGCCATTAAAAACATCTCTTTCATTATAATTTCATATTGTAAATTAGGCTATCTGCCTTCAAGATCAAATATCAAGTTTTCAATTGATTTTGTATGTCTATCTACCTATCTGTGTGTAATGATTTGCATATTATGAGATTAGGACAATGGATTGTATATCTGATCTGGCAAATTTAAGTTAATATTGGTGTTGGCTCTTTTGTCATTATAGTGGGGTTTCATTTTGCACGGGATTATTGTAATGGTACACGCCTGCGCATCAGAAATCCGTGCAAGCGATGCCATTTAACACAAGTTAAAATTGATATATCATACTAGAGTTACCAGACCTTTTCAACAAAATGACTTTGGGTAGAAAGCACAGAATTCAGAATCTTCAGGTGAGTGGTGCTGACAACAGACAATATTTTCTTCCGGTATACCCTGACAGTTCTGATGCTGGATTCGTTGACTTTCTAATGGCATACTAAGCCATGTATTCTCCTCCCAGCTTCGAGTTTCTTCAAAATTTCGACCTTGGTGGAATACGAGAAGGCCTGCAGCTTCCTACTTCTTTTGCCCTAAGACCCATGAGTGTTCCCTTCAAGGTTAGCCATGGTAACACCCAGGTAGCAGGGATGGATGGGGTGAGGTACACCACGAGAGGGAGCTGTCCTCTTACTAAAAGTCAAAAATATGAATTTTTTATTTTTTATATATGGGGAACAGCCCACCTGGGCAAAGGTCATCGACTCACAACAGAGCCTGGGGCGGCGTAAAAAAAATTATAGCACTTAACGTATTCAGTAAAATACACCTGGATAATTCACAGACCTGGATATACAGTATTACCCCGCTTAACGCGGTTTCGCTTAGCGCGTTTTACCGTATACGCGGTGCCTCGCCAGAGCCGAACTTTCACTTAACGCGGGTTTTTTTCAACGTATACGCGGTGAGTGTCCGGCTCGAGAGCTATTTTTAGATTCGCCCCATCCCCCACCCGCCACCCTGCCTGACAGCCTGTTTTAGCTCATAAAATTCATACAAATTACCCGGCCAGAATATAATTTACATTGCTGGAATTCTTACAATATGATGATCATTTTGAATATAAACATCAGAGATTTTGCATTAGACATACAAATTTTAGATATAATGTTTACTCTGAGTAAATATGTTATTTTTTGTGCAAAATATATGACATTTGTAGGTATTCAAAATATTCCTGGGTTTACAAGGAATCCAGCAATGTCAATTATATTATCCTAACTTTAGTTTGAGGTATTATTTATTACTAAAAAGGTAAATATTCTGGTTTTCCCACACATCTGGTAGGGAGGGTTGGTGGGAGGTGGGGGGGGGAGGGACCGGCGACCGACCATCTGTTACCGTGTGAAGAATATTTTTTTTTTTTTATTAACTGAAGATATTTGTTTTAGCTCATAAAATTCATACAAATTACCCGGTCAGAATATAATTTACATTGCTGGAATTCTTATAATTTGATGATCATTTTGAATATAAACATCATAGATTTTGCATTAGACATACAAATTTTAGATGTAATGTTAACTCTGAGTAAATATGTTATCTTTTGTTCAAAATATATGACATTTATATTCAAAATATTCCTGGTCTTACAAGGAATCCAGCAATGTCAATTGTATTATCCTAACTTTAGTTTGAGGTATTATTTATTAAAATTTAGTGGATTTCCCCCAAAAATTTCTCAGAGACGGAAGAGCCAGCAGTGTAGTGTGAGAAGAGGGGGAGGGAGTTGAGTCCATTATTTGAATGGACATTAACTTGGCGACTGTATTTCTCTATTTCTCTTAAGTATTAATTGTGTGCATGTATCATAAAATTAAGATGTTATTTTTACTAGAACATAGGTATTGTGTCGGAAAAATGGGAGTTTGGGGATCGGGCCAGTTTCTATTGGAATTAATCCCATATGTTCTGTTGTTCACTTAGCGCGGTTTTCACTTAACACGGTACCCTGTGGGTTTTATTGACCACGTTAAGCGGGGTACTACTGTACTAAAGAATGTCTAAGGGTAGTTTTAAAAGTTGCTGGGATTTTTGTGGCCAGGACAGGAGCCATTCGTTCTAATGACAATAATTTCCTTTACCTGTGTGTGTATATATATATACAGTATACAGTATTACTCCGCTTTACACGGTTTCACTTTCCGCGATTTCTCATTTACGCGGTACCTTGCCAGAACCAGACTTTCACTTTCCGCGGTGCATCTACTCATATACACTTGGTGATGTATAATTATTCTTTTTTTTTATTTAGCTCATAAAATTCATACAAATTACCCTGCCAGAATATAATTTACATTGCTGGAATTCTTACAATATGATGATCATTTTGAATATAAACATCATGGATTTTGCATTAGACATACAAACTTTAGATCTAATGTAATAATTTGGTTTACACAAAGCAAATATTTTATCTTTTGTGCAAAATATATGAAGTTTACATTCAAAATATTCCCTGACCTGCAAAGAATCCAGAAATGTCAATTATATTATCCTAACTTTAGTCTGAGGTATTATTTATTACTAAAAGTTAAAATATACTATTTTCTCCCAATCACTTCTCTGGTAGGGAGGGAAGGTGGGGGGTGGAGGGTAGGAAGGGAGGAAGGTGCGGAGGTGGGGTATTTTGATTGACAGATAGTGTCCTTGAAGAATATTTCTTTGTTTATTTACTGAAGATATTTGTTTTAGCTCATAAAATTCATACAAATTACCCAGCCAGAATATAATTTACATTGCTGGAATTCTTACAATATGATGATCATTTTGAATATAAACATCATGGATTTTGCATTAGACATACAAATTTTAGATCTAATGTAATAATTTGCTTTACACAAAGCAAATATTTTATCTTTTGTGCAAAATATATGAAGTTTACATTCAAAATATTCCTTGACCTAGGAATCCCAGAAATGTCAATTATATTATCCTAACTTTTAGTCTGAGTGTTATTATTACTAAAAGTTAAAATCTAGTTTTTCACCCAAACATTTCTCTGGTGGTGGCACGACGCGACACACGACGCACGCACGCACGCGCGCAACGCCTTGCGTTGCGCTTACAGAGAAATGTTTGGGTGAAAACTGATTTTAACTTTTGAATAAATAATTGACTAAAGTTAGATAATATAATTGATATTTCTGGGATTCCTTGCAGGTCAGAATATTTTGAATGTAAACTTCATATATTTTTATAAAAGATAAAATATTTGCTTTGTGTCCAAATTATTCCATTAGATCTAAAATTTTCAGCCTTCTGGCTGCCATGCTCTTTCAATAAACCGTTAATTATTATTATTATTATTATTATTACACACACACACACACACACACACACACACACACACACACACACACACACACACACAGATATACATATACACAGGTTGTACCTCTCTGGTCCGCAACCTCGACCTGACGGTGCGGACCATGGAAATTGCCTGACATGGAAATTCACCCTTTTCCTGGATAGATAGTGACTTGTGTTATGCCTGGAAGCCTAGCACCACTTTTCTGCATCATGGTCTCTTTGAAGACATATTGAAGGGTTAAATGTCGATAGTAGCTTCTCAAATGAAGTTTTAATCTTAACGATTTTATTGGAAATCAAAAATAAATAAATAAAAATTTTGACGGCGGAAACTTGAATTTCGACGGTTTGAATGGCCTTCGCCAACGCGTAAGAGACGACGTGCATAATCGTAAACAGCGTCATTTCTTTATGTACAAAAGATTCATTATTGTTTATTACTGAATGTCTTTTTATTGAATTAATGTTTATGTGTGCAAATGAGCAATACAACATTAATAATACGTGAGAATATTAAACAACGAGGAAATGACACAGCATTGTTGCGGATCACAAAACCAGTGACTGACTGGTTCAACATAAAACTGAAGAAAATAAGACCTTGGTTGTGCTGTGTAGTAAATTTAATATATTGTTTTAAGTAATGTTATTTAATGTTAATAAATGGAACAATAGAAGTAGCTAACGATAATGGTAAAGAAAAAGAGAGATCGCGATGTAAGTGGCTGCGGCATTATGTGACATAACGTCATTATTTTACATAAGAATATAAAGCAACACTTATTTACTGTTCATATATTTTAATTAATGTTTCTGAATTTGTTTTATTGAATTAATGTACGTGTGTGCAAAATTAACAATACAATTTATAAATAATCATGGGAATATTAGAGACGGGACGGCTGTCGGCATTGTTTATGTTTAGCCTTTAAAACCAGTGACTCATTGGTTCTACATATAAACTGAAGAAAATAAGACCTGAGTTTAGCTGTAGTAAAATTAATGTAAAATGAATATGGTTGCTTGAAGTACCTGTAATGTTATTTAATGTTAATATTTCCATAGTCCGGCACCGTCAGGTCCCGAGGTTGCCGGACTAGAGATGTACAACCTGTATGTATGTATGTATATATATATATATATATATATATATATATATATATATATATATATATATATATATATATATATATATATATATATATATATATATATATATATACATATATATATATATATATATATATATATATATATATATATATATATATATATATATATATATATATATATATATACTGTATATATATATATATATATATATATATATATATATATATATATATATATATATATATATATATATATATATATATAGTTATATTTTATATATACTTATATATATATATATATATATATATATATATTATATATATATATATATATATATATATATATATATATATATATATATATATATATATATATATATATATATATATATATATAGTATATATATATATATATATATATATATATATATATATATATATATATATATATATATATTATATAT